GGGAGGAGCTTCAACAGTGCCTGGGACTTGCGACCCAAGTGTAGGTTGTTATAAAAAAAACACACCCGAAAATGATCAAAAGCTTAAATTAAATTGTGATGAATTACTTAATTTTAAATTTTATACTTTTTATTCTAGTCACAAATTTGCAGCCATTCATTTTTACAACTTTCTCGTTAAATATATAACTCAAATAATATTAATTAATTGATTTCAATATCAACAATCCAGGTCGGCAAAGCATCCAGAACATATTAAGTTGCGCATGTCAAATTACCTCCATGAGGTAGGCGCTTGCATCTTTAGCATAAAAAAAGATCTCATTAAGTTTGCATTGTTTAAAACACGTTCAATTTGACTTTATTTTTGAAGTTTTAAAACATTTTCTCTGTTTGTTTCAACCTTTTGTGTATCCAACTGGGTCACGTTGAAGTTAAAATGTCGAGAGTACTGTCATCACTCACTTAATAATTATGATTTCCCATTACATTTTTGTGTTCGGTTTTTTTTGTTTGTAAATGGTTATTAAGACTGATTTGTTGTGGTGTAATATATTTTTAGATTTGAAATAATGAAATTGAAATATAATTGAAAATTATAAACAAGAAACAGTAAGAATTACGTCAAAATTTTTGTCTTTATGTGTGTAAGATTTATACATTTTTTTTTGGTTATTTTATACAGAGAGAGTTACCCTGATATATATATGAGATTTAATAATCAGATTACAATATTCCCTTGTAGATCTTCCATTTTTGGCTGTTTAAACGGTCAAAATATATAAAAATAGATTCGTCTTCTTTTATAAACGTAACTTTTATCATATTTTCATCTTTATACAAAGTACATTTTAATAATAGTAATTATAAATATATAGTCTATCAACACTTCGTTAATGTCACGTAATTAAAATGCAATAGGAAATTAATATATATGTTAAATATCATAATCTGTTCCTTTATTGTTTATTTAAATATAAAAATATATATAATTAAGGATATCCTTGCCCAAAACAAAACAAGACATTAAAAAATATTGTAACTGTTGATAAACCTTTTTTTTTATAAATTATATAAATTATTATAAAAGCTCAGGCAAGCGGTTTAGACAGTGGAACAGTAATTTGTTTGGGAAATCGAGGGCCTTCCTCAATTTTCTCACTTTCGTTAACATTTTGGACTGTTAATTTTAAAATAACTCTCAAATTAAATAATTATAATATTGATGTCTGTAAAATAGAGTTTTATTTTGCCAACTACATCTGGTATTCTGACAGAATGAGGAGTGACGTTTACAGTCTACTTACCTATAAATCGACAGTTTGAAAATTTTGAATAATTATATAGGAAACACACATTTAATTTTGAAGTGATGTTGAAGCCATGACATTTGTTTTGTTCACTTTTACGCGGGAAAGTATTTGTCGACGCGACTTGTGTTTGTAAATTAAGTTAACTTATTGAAGGTGTTTTGGTTATAGATAATATTTATTTTGTTCTAGTTAGGGTTTGATATGCTATTTAAAAGTACTATAAGGTTTAACCAGCGTTAGTTACGGTCCCTTAAACCTACACCAGGGTCGCAAGTCCCAGCCCAGGCACTGTTGAAGCTCCTCTCGCTGCAACGATGGACCCGACACACGCTAATCCATTGAATGCTAAGAGATTTCGTCTCCTACTTTTTAATGATTTTGTTAGAATACTAAATATATATTAATGATAATAATAAATTAACACATAAATAAATTAAACTGCTAGTGTCGACATTGAACACGCTTACACGATAAAATGTCCATCTTAACTCTTGATATAAATATCTGAATATCTTTTTGTAGTTTCTGCAACTTTGAATGTATTAAGATTACATTCGTTGTATCGTAAATAAAGTGTTATATGTCGTCTCGGATAAATATTAAATAAAATTCTCGTATATATCGCAACACATCAAAATGGAGGTTTTCAACATTCACACAGCAAATATCAAGAACGCTCCCGACTCCTTATATGTGTTTGTTATTATTATTTTATTATAATTATTTATTAAATTATGTGTATCTTGTATTTGAATGAAATATTATAACTGTTTATAGGCATTCATATTGTATATATTAGAATTTTATTTTTCAAAAATCGCGATAGCGTAAATAATTAGATATGATACGAAAAATACCTTAATATATTTTTATTTAGAAATAGGATTTAAAAAGTTTTTATAAAAAAATGTAATGAAAAAAAATAACTTTCCATATATACAACCTTGATGCTTAAAAACTTTTTGTTAAGTTTTTGAGTAAAAACTTTATGATTATTAAAAAAAAACTAGACTCAATATATACACTATAGATATTAAATTACTGCTTTTTATCACACATACGCCGGATTAAGTTAAGGAATGAGGTAATATAATATCTTTTTGTTCTATTATCAAATATATATGGATTTAGTAATACAATATAATATGTCATTAATATTTAATAAAATTCAAGTAAACCAGACAAGTCTGGTTCAAATTCTTGACAGTCGCTATTTTCGCAATATTCAGACGAAATATCTTTACGGCTTATCTTAAACGAAGATTATGTAAAGCTGATATTATTATGAAATACATATAATATTATTAATAGTTTTATTTCATTTTATTATATACACAAAATATAAATGGAGAGATTAGCCTGTTTTTTTTATTTTATTTAGAATTGTACTCCATTTCATTATACTTATTTATTTTTACATTTAATTAACAATTCTATGTCAATCGATATCCTTATTATTAGTTCGTATGATTACTACATACGCAGCGTTTCCCGTTTCTCATTCAACTTACGTGAAAAAACAAAGATTTATAGTGGAAAAACTTTTAACGCTACGTACGCTGTGTGACGCAAGCTTATACTAAGCAAAATTGTATTTATTACAATACATAGATTCTCCGGTCATAAAAACTGAACTTTATGCTCCATAGATTGATGAAAAAGAAATTGTACCACCAGAAATTTTAACTACTCAGGCAGTTTTACTTAACAATCAGACTATAATAACATGCACAGTTAAAGGAAATTATAGTATAAGTAAGTCATCAACTTCAAATAGGTTAATCCTTATATTTGGACAAAAGTATGGCCTTATATTTAACGAGTTACTCCGAACTCTTTGTTCTATGACGTTTAACAATGAATGGGCGGGAACGAGTTGTGATTTAAATTAAACATTACATAAAAGCAATATATAACTATATAATTATAGTACAGTATATAAATTATAATGTATTTATTATAATTATTAGTCAGATAAATAGTATTTAAGTTATGAAACTTAGATGTACTTATACATATAAACACAAATAACAAAGTCGCAATTCGCAAAGAATTTAATTATAATAACTCTTCATCATCTTCTACCTGGCAATTTTCCCAGCTTTAGCCAGGGTCTGCCTTACATGTTGTGAATAGTTTTGGCTAATTGTATTTACGGCCGGCCGCCTGCCTGACATTAACCCTCTTTGGGAATCCATTAATGAGTGATGTCTAAATGCTCTTAGAAAGTACATATGACTCGAAAAAATCACATTGGTACTTGCCAGGGCCAGGATCGAACCCGCACCCTCGTGCATGAGAGGCGGGCCCTTTAACCACTAGGCTACCACTGACTTTGTTTTAATTATAATAATTATAATTTCTTATTATAAAATGGTTTTATCCATACATATGTAATTATTATCATTAATTGTTTAACGTATATATGATTTTCATTATGATTTTCATATATTAATATATGTAGTCAAATTACTGAACATGAAACATACAATTCAAAACACATAGATGACCATGCTACCTTTGTTATTATTTTTTATCATAATTTATACAAAATAAATTGAATTTATACATAAAATTCATTCAATATTATTAATTTTATATTCAATTTTGAGTTACGATCCAACCTTAATTAATTTATCGAATTTCGAAAAATTTTGATTTTTGTAAATATTTTTATTAATTTAATTTATCATCTCTAAGGAATTCAATCCTTATGTTGTTGACATTTAAATTCATCAAATACCTGCTCTTTATATATATTAATTTATGTATTTGTAACAATTTATTCATATTGAGAAATTAATTTTGCATATCATAAATATAATATAGAAATAATTTAATAAATTACCATAATATTATGTTTAACAAAAAATTGGAATGCAGTAAAGTCTAAATCCTTTGATAAGTTTAAAAATTACTTGTTATTTAAGTAAATAATTTTTCGATAATACTTAAAAAGTATTGTATGTAATGCCTTATAAGAGTTTATTTTAATTTAGTTTTCTAAAGCGTAATATATAGTTGCGCTGAGATCTGTGCCGTCTAATTTGATTGTCTGAAAAAGAAAAACATCTGTTTTAAAAAATATTCGTTTTTACATAGTAATTGTAAAATATATGTAATATTAATAATATGTAACATCAATATAATAAAAGAATCATAATTATATCAACCTCTTAGGAAGATATAATAATTAAATATTTGTACAACACAAAAACACAGCTCTTGTTCCTTTATTGATTAAATTTCTTTCAACCCATCATTACTATACGTCTTCGAGATCTTTAAAATATCGTTTTTGAATTCAGCTTAAATATATGATAAAATATTTTCAATATTCTTAAAACATAACGATTAATATACATAGCTTTTGTAATTTATCAGGTTCGATACCAAAGATCTTAATGAAAAAACTTTCAATAAATTTATCTGCTAAAGATTACAATTACTGCAAAATCTTATAAAAGTCGGTATTTAGTTCAAAATCTCATAGTACAGAAAGATTTAATTTAATCGTTTTTGGAATAATATTTTAGGATATACTAGTTTTTGCCTGCGACTTCGTTGGAATTTTGTATTATACGTATATACGTAATCTAGAAGCCATAAATAACCAGATATTGCAATTTGTTAAGTTTTTTCTTTTTCGATCCAACAGAATTAAATATCCTATGTCCGACTCCTGATACTAAGCTATCTCACCACAAATTTTCAAAAATAACCCTACGGCGGTTCTTGAGTTATAAATGGTGTAACTAACACAACATTCTTTTATAAATATGTATATAGATTGATTAAATGCGTTTACCATAATAACTCCATTTTCTTTGAATTCTCTCTTGAAGTACGCCGTTCGTTCATCCATTTTGATAACTTGATGTAAAATGCTGTCACCTTCGAGGCTGTACGTTATCTTTACCTTTAAAGAAAAATATAATTATTATTACAATTAAGTACTGTTTAAGTCTAGTGCTAAGTATAACAACAATTAGCTTGTCAAAGCTGACTTATATAGAAGTAAAATTTTTGGGTTTTGATATTACTATGCAGAAAATAGGGATGCTTTAAGGACATTGGAAGTTTCAGTCTCATTTCAGTTAAAATTAGCGGCTCTTAAAGTATGAAATATATGTAAGGCCGCTTGAGAACATGGTCTGGGAGATTTAGACTAATAAAAAAATTAATTACAAATACAAGTGGTTATGAACAAAACTTTTAATGATGGAATACCTATTAAGTATTATATGTTTATAATATTTATGGAAAAAAATAGTCATTGTGATTACAAATATTTCTTTTACATACATCTGTATTTATTTTTATCTTGTTGTTGAAAACGCCAAAATTACAATTGACTTGAAGTCCCATAAATCCTCTTGTAGATTTTGCGATTGGGATATTTTCGTTTCGTGAGAAAAATAAATTATAAAATAACAAATATAGTAAGAAAATCACCAAATCTAAATTATGACAAAGTAGTAGAGCTATTCTTATTATAATGATGTTATAAATGTTACTGCTGTTAAGGATGGGAATTCAATAATCAACCTCTTATTTGCTATCGGTATATTTCTTTTCTCTGGGTTTACTTAGATGCAGCTATCGACTATCATGATTTTAATTTCTCTCCTAACAGCTCGCCTAACAAATGTTAAAAATACATACCAGTACTTTTAGTTCAAGTTTGAATTCTCACACAACAGATGAAACGTTTCCCGTTTCTCACAGAATAACCTATGTTGATACTACATTATGTTGAATTTTACGAGTGAAACTGTGTATATTACTTAGAATTAATAAAATATATCGACGAATTGAAAACCTCCTCCTCCTCTGAAGTCAGTTAATAACAAGATTATGAAATCTATCTTCCTTAAAATATAGTGTTACGAATTATGTGTATTATAGATGTCTACATATTGTAAGGGTTTTCCTCAATTTTCTCATGATTCTATAATCAGGTTTTATAATAATCATCATGGGACCACTTGTAAAGTCTTCCCTTATAAAAAAATAAATCAAAATAAAGTTAGTGTTAAAGTTACTCGTTCATGTGTAGCACATATATTTAATGCTAACTTTATATCTAGTAAGAATATGTATAGCTTTCAAATAAAAAATAGTAATATCAAAATCGCTTCAGTCAGTCGAAACTTATTAGTTATAAGGTAACAAACATGAAACATAAATACAGACAAATTGATAACCTCCACCTTTTTTGAAATTGGTTGATAAGCATAGGTACATTAACAAAAATAACAACAAAAAAATTAAAAAACTAATAATTAATTGGTTTATAAATATTTCCTTTCATTGCTATTTAACTCCTTTCTTGATTTGAAGGAATGATTTAAATATGCATTTTCTTTGAGTTTCTACGTTAGAATCACTTCGTCGTCCTGATAATATTTATTAGTTGAAATGCTTTGAAATATTGTTTTGTAATTATCGTTTAAATTTTGTTCTTAAATTGAGCTTAGTAATTTGTAGATTTATATTATACAAGTAAAATACACTCACTTAAAATATCCTTCGGGCACGTTAGCTTAAACAAAATTTTTATCAAAAACCGTTTGCAGGTTTTAGGTAATGCACATACAAACACAGAAACAACTTTTCGAGCTCTTATAATAAATTTATCATGAAACCCTTCAATAGCATTTCAATATATATAAAATTATTGTTTTTAAATAATCGATTTTGGGAGCATTATGTGTAATTTACCTTGCGTTTTTATTATTGTGAAACGTTTATAAGTAAAAGTAGATTACAATGACTTTTGTTGAAATTTATATCAATATTAAGATATATACTAATAATAATATATTTTTTGTTGCTGTTACCTCTTGTTTAAAATCAAATACATATAAAAGACACAAATTTTCTTATATATTAAGTGATATTGTTCATTTTTTATAAGAATTTGTTTGAAGTAGGGACACTTCATTGTTTCAAATCTAGTATTAACATCCTTAGGATAAGTATCTCAATTTTCCATCGTCATACGACAGACTGAGCGTCAATAATCTTTTATTAATATACATCGACGTTGTAGTATTAACGTTGGTTATTGTAATAAACGGGAACCGCAACGTGCGTAGTGCGACGATGTTGACTTGTACTAAGCGCAGGTGAAACTACTGCTTTTTTTGGTTTCCATTGATGTAAAACTGTAAATGGTTTAGTGCAAATTCTACGACGCCTACTAAGTAAGTTCTTTTGATAGCTGCAATCCCTTTAGTTCTGGAGGTTGAAAGTACGGATTACAGTTAATAAAAGAAATTCTGAATCAAGTTATCGTAGCAATATATTGTACGCACATGTACATGTATGTTATAAAAGATTAGTAGGTGTGTACATACAACTTGTACACTTTTTCGCAGTTCAGAGATTTGTGACTTTGAAAAAATTTCCTTCACGAGCTTATAATCTTTTGTAAACATTAGAGAGAAAAATAATTAACATGATATAGAAATAATATTACTTAATTTTATTTTAATATTAAAATTTTACTCACTTTGCTGCCATCTTTCTTCTGCATTTCCTGTTCCTCTCCTAACTTGAAGACATGACTCAGGCGTTTCCCTTCTATTTCCAGTTCCATGTGGAGTATGTTCCCATCGTTTATGGTGTACGTGACCAGTGGGGCTTTTGCTTTCAACATTTGCACTATGTCTTCATTTGGGTCTGTTAATCATATGATGTTATATGTATAAGAAACAATCTTACTGATATAAATATTAAATGTATTTGAGGATGTACTAAACAATCTACTGAACAAATTTTTATGAAAGTATACAGTTATGTAGCTTAGTTATAGATCATCAAAAAGGTTCGATCATCGTCTAAGTCAGTGGTGACCTAGTGGTTAAAGGGCCCGCCTCTCATGCACGAGGCCGCGGGTGCGATCCTGGCCCTGGCAAGTACCAATGTGGTTTTTCCAAGTCATATGTACTTTCTAAGAGTATTTAGACACCACTAAATAATGCATTCCCAAAGAGGGTTGATGTCAGGCAGGCGGCCGGTCGTAAAAACAATTAGCCAAAACTATTTACAACATGTAAGGCAAACCCTGGCTAAAGCTAGGAAATTGCCAGGTGGAAGAAAAAGTTATAGATCATCTCAAAATTCCTTATTGTTATTGAATTACAGGGCCTTTTTTTGGAAAATGCTTAATGCATTGCATTGCTTGGGGAGGAAAACAGGGAGAGTTATGTCGAACTCTCTGCCTGAAAAGGACGCACTACTGACTAAAACGAGTGTCCCACGCACCGCTCTACTGCTAAGCCACAGGGCCACAGGTTTGAATTACAGGGATTTAGAGTTTTATTGTGTATGAAGTCGCGTAACTGAGACTATAGATGGCGTTGTAGGTTGCCTAATGCACTAGTCTAACACTATAGATTTCTTAATGAGCCTAATTTCCTAGCCTACTCAGACGAAGTCGAGGCAAAAATTAGTATTTATATTATGATATAAAGCGATCGTCAAATTTTCAATAGAATGTGCTCGTTATCAGTTTATCACTTATCTAAAATTGATACAATTTGTTTTTATCTTTGGCTTGCCATTTTGTTTTAACTATTTGGCGATATTATGAATAATAATGAAATGAAATAACCGTATTTCTAATTAGCTTTTGCCCACGTTTTTGTTTGAGTTTAGTCCTGAATTGAGTTTAGTCGTTGTGTATTAATGTGGTTAACGCAACACTTATTGTAAGAAACCTATAGAAAAATTTACGTGTCTGTTCATTTAAAACATTAAAAAACAAACAAATAAAAAACTGACAACTACAAGTTTTTTCATACGTTATTACTGACGTATGTACTTACTTTCATAAGGTTTGCAAATATTTACGAATAAAACACTGCAAAACTCTTTTCATTTAATTTGACAATGGAGACACGTGGTATAGATACTATTTTGTTGTGTCTTTTTACTTTGAATTTTATTCTAAATTATATATCAGATATCCCAAAATATGAGCCACATATTGTATATTGCATTAAAGCCAGACCCTGACTACAGCCGGGATATTTGCCGGGAAGAAGAAGATTGTATATTGCATTAAATTTATTTGCTAGAAACATAAATTCACACATTGTATTAACTTAGATAAAATCGAAACCCGTTACAGTAAAACAAAATTTCCAAAAAATTACTCGTTCACGGAATGCATCAAATAGCTTTGATTGTTAGTAAATACGTAAATTTTCATATAAATAATATAATAAGTGAGGTATTATAATGACACAAAGGAAATCCACTCACTGGTAGCCGCTAGCACTTTATCAATATTTTCACAGCGGATTCTTCTAAATTTCTTTCCAGAAAACCACATCACACTTACGAGTAACTAATAACAATGTTTCTATAAACAGAGTATTTAGCTCTATAGAAGCTAAAACATATATGTCTTGTAATACATATTGCTTCAGATAAGATTGTATATAATGCTGTGTCATTGTAGATTCATTACTACTATAGATATAAATTTTATTATTACGTCTGTATTTACGTAAGAATATTTTTTTACGTGACTATTTTCTGCATATCCACTTCTATGTATATTATCATTAACTAATTTATGAACCGACAGCGAAGAGAAAGGTTAGTTTTATGTCATTTTAATAATATTAGTGATTATTAAAATGAATAGTTTTATATATTTTTTTATTTACAATGTAATAAATAATGTTTGTGAAGGTAAATCCAAGTGTTTTTTTAAACTAGGTAATGAGGAAAAGAATTTCGTTTTCCTCCACATGCAATGCTTATTTCAAATTAATTTAGATATTTGATATTGAATATATCTTTTTTCTGTATAAAGACAATAATTCCTTTTTGTATTCTATTAAAATAAGAACTGTTACTAATGTATGTTTTAAGGTTCAAGAATAATCTATCATATATCTTCTATTAATTCTTAGACTTATACTAAAGAAAAATTTGAAGTTTTTTTTATTGATTTTGGTAGATTTCGTGACCTATTTTAAATATATCTTAGATTGATACCAAAGCTAACTTAACCTTTGAGAATATTAAAAAGATCATGATCGTTGAACAAGGAGGCAACGCAGAAATATCATTTAGGTACATATTAGATTCATTACAAGCAAAAACATATTCATCTCCGAATCTAATATTCTGCAGGAAACTTTAAAGTTAAAATATATTTTTTCTTAGTAACTTCTTCTTCTACCTGGCAATTTTCCCAGCTATAGCCAGGGTCTGCACTTACATGGTCTTTACATGTTGTGAATAGTTTTTGGCTATTTGTTTTTACGACCGGCCGCCTGCCTGACATCAACCCTCTTTTGGGAATCAACATTAATCAGTGATGTCTAAATACTCTTAGAAAGTACATATGATTCGGAAAAATCACATTGGTACTTGCCCGGGCCAGGATCGAACCCGCGCCCTCGGCGACGAGAGGCGGGCCCTTTAACCACTGAGCCACCACTGACTTTTAATTATTTATTCTTATATTTTTTCTTAGTGTAATCAGTATTAAGTACTATAGTTTTGTAGTTCTATAACTTCCTTTCAGTTTTTAATGTAGCGTAGAATCCGATGTGTGAATATTGATGACTGAAAAACTGCTTACGCTCTGTTTGTAGTCTAAGTGTGTAAGCATGTGGTAAAGTATTGTATTGTGACGATACGTTACCCTATATGATTGATTTATTAAAGCCCATTTTTTTATGGTAAATTAACATATATTTTCTTACAAACAGAATTCCAAGACAAAAACTCAAATAATTTCAAAAATAAAATGATTTTAATCGCCAGTTTCTATGGGGTATTTTGATTCTGCGGCATTGATATCACAACAAGGATTTTTTTTTTATTATTCTAACATTCTACCTTTTTCTAAGAAAATTAATGATTTAATGCGAATTTTTCAAATACGTACACTCACGCAGACACACACACAAACTTTCGCATTTATAACAATAGTATTACAATGAAAAATAGATTGTACTTCGTATTTTTAGATATATATAGCTTAAGAAAATTATTTTAAGTAAGTCATTTACAATCATTATACATAAAGACAGACAAAACAACTCATAAACAAAAGTATAATTTTAAATTAGTTTTATAAAGCCCTTGAGTTTAACGATATTCATAAAACAAAACAATCATTCACTGACACATATAATGTGTAACATTACTTATATGTGAAGTAATTTTATAATCTTTACATATATACAGGGTGACTGGTGAATTACTATCGATATTTGAGGACGTGATATATGACGATCATATATGACACAATAAAAATTAATATAACATAAATATTAATAAACTTCTAAGTAAAGTTAACCAAAAGTTATGTAATTAATTACGCATCGTATGAAAACCCTACAGATTAGGTATACACACACACTCACACTCGCGCGCGGCGGCGTGTTGTTGTATCAACACGCAATGCCGTCTTTAAACTATTTGAGGCCCTGGGCACATTAGGATCATGGGGCCCCTATGACCTTGAGAAAACACTATTTAGTTACAATAGATAAAGAAAGACAAACAAGGTTCTAAATTTATTTTTATTTAGTTACTAACTATAAAAAAAATAGAAAATATAAAAAATAATCTACAAAAGTAACTCACTTAACTTAAAATCCTTAGATTAATTCTATATTGATTGCAAAGGTACCCTTCTAGATTTAAGACGATCAAAATCGTTAATCACATCTTCAAAATCTATGGTATTGAGAATATCACATTCTACGGACATCAGCGACAAACTAGTTAATCTCTCTTGAAGCATTGTACTTCTTAATTCATTTTTTATTCGTTTCAATTTGGAGATGGAGCGTTCTCCGCTGCAGTAAGTTACCATCATACTTAAAAATATTATCAATGCAATTTCTACGTTAGGAAATGTGTCTTCAATTTTGTTTTGCTTTAATAGATTATATACTTCCTGTACACTGTTAGATGCTTCATTTTCACTCTGAACATTTTTAAGTATTCTTTTAAATGTTGACATTCTATTTCTAACTCTTTTTCATTTACATTTTCGTGATAGATTTGAGAAAATTCTTTGCATCCTTGTCGTATCTCTTCGGAATTCAGAGTTTTTAAGTGAAAAAATAAACTAAAACGTTGACTGACGGTCTCATATGAACTTTGTCACTGTTTTAGATGAACACTCAAGGTATCGATTATTGGGAGAAAGGTTTCTACGTTGAATCGCTCTTTTCCATTCAATTGGACTGATGGCCAGAGCCATCAAAAAATTCCAGCCGTGAGCTTCTACGTCTTGTTCTTTGAGATAGATCCTTGTAGTCAGATTCTGGGTTATTTTCTTTGGCAGATGATTCGAAGTTATCAAACTTATCCCTGAGGTTAGTAATAAAATCATAAAGTGAAGTCAACAAATTGGTTGCAACGTCCAGTGTTATTGTTTCTTTCTGAAGATAATTACTTGTTTTAACCTAAATATACTAATATCGGAAAAACTCATTTTTGGAGTGGAGTACTTATACCCTGTATAGTTATTAGTTTGATCTTTCTTTTTGACGGATGTCGAATCTGAAATCGATATAACTTTGCAACGACGAACAATATTTTCTTATTTTAATAATATTAAAAATTGATAATAATCATAAGAATAGACACACAACATAAAAGTACCTGTTAAGGACTCAAGCATTTTCCGAAAGTCTTAAGTGGTTTTTATTGCTTCGAAGTAAAATTTAAATAGAAAAACTGAAAACAAAAACTGAAAAAAATGTTTTTATGTCTAGTGCAATAAAATAGATTGACGAATGAATTTATTTATTTTGAATAGTTTAAAACATACATACAGCCACATATTTAGCCAACACATTTTTTACACTAATAGATATTTTCTGTTTTCCATCACTGACCCATCTGTCAAAAAGTTCAAGCTATGTTGTACAAGGAATAGCTATCCGCATGCGGCAAACTAAAGCTAATATAATAAGCGTAGGTATTGTAGTAAGTCATTATCATCCGATTTTTCAAAATGAATGGTTTTCGGTAATACCTAAATATCGGTTATCATTTGGTAATCTGGAAGGAACTAGGGGGCCCCATTCGATCGCGGGGCCTTGGGCACGTGCCCATAGTGCCCAGTGGGAAAGAGGGGACTGTCAACACGCCGCCGCACGCGTACACACTTGGAACACTTGGAACGTGTTCACACTTTATTTATAATACGGAAATTTGGTCAAAAATTAAGTACCTATTTTTTTTACATAATTCGAATGAGAATCATGTACCGAGTATGCTCCTTAAATATTGATAGTAATTCACCAGTCACCCTGTATATGTCGGATTTAATTCAAATTCGTTATTTTTAAAGAGAGCGACGCCAGCCTCGCTGTCACTTCTGGTGTCACTAATGTAACTTCTAAGTTCCATGATATTTTAAAATGAAACTTAAATTGTTTTAAATGTTCTTGTATTTCTCGAAGGTTCATCATAATTACAATCTTCAATGGTCCGCTCTTACGTCCAGACGACATATTTATACTCAAATACAAACATAGTTCTATTCTTCTTTTAAATAGCCTTTCATTTCGTATTACTTTTAATATTAGTCATAAATAATAATAAGTTTTATAATAACAAGTTATTTTCATGTTATTAATTCTGTTGTACGCGTGTATGTCACTGAACTTCTTAACGGCTGGATCGATTTGAATGAAGTTTTTAGCGATACGGAAATTGCATATCATATCAGTGACGCTCCAGGTAGTTTAGATTCATAAATCTGGCCGGCAGATGGCGCTTCAGTATGTACTTAGGATATATAAAATTAAAACTCTTTAACCTAGGTTACTTTATGTATTTATTTAAAACATTTAATACGTTTTTATTTTATTGAACTTTACGCAGACGGAGTCGCAGTTACAACCTAAAGAGATAATAAATATTTTAATATTGTTTTTAAAATGTTTAGATTGTTATAAGATGCAGATGGCTGCTCTGTTTATACAATATTTTGGGTATATGAATATAATTTTTTTTGTTTTATATGTAATATCCTTGTTTATATATTCATAGCTCTTGGTTTTGATTCATAAAAATCTTTTATATATAATTTTATTATATACTACAAGACTTGGGCATTACAAAAATATTGTAATATTAAAATTTATTTTAATTTCTTTCTAATTTAAAATATTGTTAATTATTTATAAAACTATCTGTACATAACCACAAGTTTGTATTGTCGAACTAAAACTCTGGGTAGGGGTACTAAGTGTTCAGGAATATTTAACTTTATATACTGCATGCAAATTATCGATACGAAGCCCTGGTTAAACCGCCATTCCTTGTACACCGATCTTCTTCTTCCTAGCAATTTCCCAGATTTAGCCAGGGTCTGCCTCCTTGTACACCGATATGGTGTATCATCTATTATTTTATATTTTGTTGACAATCTTCGCTAATGTATGTATGTTTGAGCAAGTTATAAGTTGAGTTGTACACGCCAGTTATATGGCATTGTCTTGATTCTGATTGCTTTGTTTAAATTTGACTACATGTGATCAAGGTAGCTTTCGTTTGTCCTTCGGAATACATTGAGATCTGTAATTTTTTTAAGGGTCTTAATTAGTATTCTAATTCGATAGTTTGTCTGTACCCTCCAAAATATTTGCTTGATTTCGTGTATATTATGAATTTACAATAATATGTATCTTACCAATTGTCCACTAAATCAACAAAATTACTTCAATGAATTACTTCAAAAACTAATTCAATGAATATGAAAGTATTAATAAAGTATATAAATGAACTGTTAATAATTCAAGAAAACCCTTTTTTTCAAGATTTTTATTTATTTATTCTTCCTCTAAACATGACTAGGAGTTATTTATATAACACGCATGATGCCGTGTAAGTCTTGTTACTTTCCATTCATTATGGATTTGACCGTGAAAAAATCTATGGTACTTATTCGTGTGTCATATCGCATAAAAATCTGAGGAAAGAGATTAAGCGATAGTACTAATTACATACGACATAGTTATAATAATTGGTTTACGAAGATTTATTATTTTTGATGGGGATAGGATAGATGTTACTCATGTGAATTGTAAAGTTAAATTTAAATGAAAGTTATTTTTTTTTCGCATTATACGCGTATTTTATTGTCAATCACATCTCGTCTGTCCGTGATCACGGTTGCTGAAAAGTAACCGAAACATCGTGAATATATACATAGTTTTAAAACAAAATATTAGTTTCATTTAAATAAATACTCGCGAAAGTCTTAGATCTTATTAACTCTGGAATAAAAATGTTTGTAATTATAAATAGTTGTTGTTTAAAAGTTCCGCATTTAATATTTATTTTATGAGTGTATTTAAATATTCTATTATATTTCTCATGGAGTAACGCGATACCATTGTTTAGTTAATGTCAAGGACTATGGGAATAGGATGTGATCGTATCAGAATACAACCCAAATAATAACAGCTATCTCATTCAGTGAAACTAATTTAATACAAGCAGATACTGAACCTTTCTTAGGTATACTATTTAATTGAATATGTTTTGTATAAATGTTACCTCTTTAGTCATTTTATACACATAAAACTTTGATGAGTGATAAGATCTCGCTTGTACATATTTAAATGAACCTAAGTTTTTTGGATACAACGCGTTTTTTATTAACCTACACCTGGGTCGCAAGTCCCAGTCACTGTTGAAGTTCCTCTCCCTGCAACGATGGACCCGACACCCGCACGGTGAATCCATTGAATGTTGAGAGGTTTCGTCTCATGATCCCGACATATCAGTTCCGAGATCTCATTTCGTTTGCTCGTGATCACGGTTGCTGTAACAAAAATAAGAGGAAAGAAAATTCGATACCAATGTTGGTCTATATTACATTATACCTTTACCATTGCAGTTAACTGTGACAAACCTATTTCCTAGGAATTTCCATTGAGTCACATTTTTCGTCTTAGAATGCTTAATACAAGTTTGATCTGACACCGACTTACAAAGCCTTTCTCGTTTCTCAGGCAATATCGTATTATTAGTATAAGATGAGAAGATTTATCCCTACTAATATTATAAATGCGAAAGTAACTCTGTCTGTCTGTCTGTCTGTCTGTCTGTCTGCTACGCTTTCACGCCTAAACCACTGAACTGATTTTAATGAAATTCGGTACAGAGATAGAGTTGACCTTGAGAAAGAACATAGGATAGTTTTTATCCCAGACTTTTGAAAGGTTCTCTTGGAAACGCGATATAACCGAACTCCACGCGGCGAAGCTGCGGGCGGAAAGCTAGTAGGAGATAAACTGTTAACTCTCAGTACGTAGAGTGTCAAGAAACTTGGAGTAAGCAATAGATCGTATTTTTTATGTAGTAACATTATCCTTTAAGTAGCAAAAAAAGTTTTTTGAAGAAATATTATTTGGTAGGGCTTCTATGGGTTAATAAAGATAAGGTTACTTTTATAATTTACTGTGTTTTTGACTTCCAATGATTTGTTTTCAGAATAGTAAGATTCGAAATTCTCGATTTTTCTTTAATTTATATTGAAGTCTATTATAATATTTATATTAGTAGAAACCGATCTGAAATTTGCTAAGCCGAAAAACATTCTAGCAATTATTATTTCGGCTCCTATTTGGTGAATAAAGTACCCGTAATAATTTTTCTTACAAATCTTTCATACACAAACAGCTTTTATTTATTTTATTATGTGTACATTATGAAATTTGATAAGAAAATAAAGTTATAATAAGTAGTGGTATTATATTCAATTAGGTTTCTGTTCGTTTCTTAAAATATTAATTAATGTGTAGAGTAAATCTACGTTCCTCAATTTTACGGAACCCTTATATCAAATGTTCATTTTAAAGAATTGACTTATATTGGTTTGTCAGTAACATTACGACTGACTTTATAGTATGAGAAAACAGACGTACATTAAGTAACAAGTAATTACGTATTTACTTTGACTTAGGATAAGTTAATGTAATTTAATATAATTTGAGTTGCTTTTTTTTGACTAAAAATTGATAATTTTCAACAAAATGACATATATCCGTCCTTTTAACCAACTTCAATAACGAAGGAGGTTTTAATTCGTTTTTATGTTTATGTTTTAAACTCTATGTAAGCTATGTTTACGTTTTGTTATGAGATTTGATACATATGTAAATATAAGGCGCCTCGTCTGTGCGTTGATCCGATGCTGTTCAATGTGCATCCGGGTATATGAGATGCAGCCTTCGACCGTGGTATACCGTTATCAATGATCCAATATCAAGTTCTTTATGACCACAACATTTCCATAACGTTTTAGGAGATTTTTGCGAGTTTTACTATTATTTTTCGGATTACACTACGTGAGTTTATTTTTGTCAATAACTACATACTCACGACGTTTCGGCTACTTTTCAGCAACTGTGACCACGGGCAGACGAGATGTGTAAACGTTTTAAGAGTTTATCTATAACTATCAATTAAAATACTATTTAGATGTCAAAGTGACGTTTTCTTTCTATAATAAAAGCTCTTAATTGTATTCGGTAGCTGAACTAATATTGCACGTAAGCATAGATAAGAATATATTCCGTTTATTACGACATGTAAGTAGAACATGAAAGTATTCTTGACAGTGCCCCGAGGTGTATTTCTCTTGGTGAGCGCGCGGCCTTGTCACAGTGAGGGCGGGGGCGCCTATGTTTGCAGCGGATCACGGGGACTTCGCCACTCGTACTTCGGTTATCAACCAACGAACGCGTTTGTAACGATATGACGGTTTAATTTTTTAGATTTAAAACCGATATGTCATATTAATATATCAATCATGTGGTTTTGGTTGTTCCTTGCGGCTGTCGCCGTGTATTCCGTGGAGGGCGCGGGCCCGGGCGCCGCACGACTCGTTTGTTATGTAGAAGGCGCACGCGCATATGATGTATCGGAGTGTACGCACCTCGTGTACGCCGGCGGCTCCAGGGGCGAGGAGTTGGAAGCTCTGATGAAGGACTACAGGAAGAATAACAAAAGGATCAAGATCATCCTGCGAGTGAACGAAGGAGATAAGGTATGTTCCAGCATTTAGTCTTCGGTTCACTATTTGATGTTATAATAATGAAATTAATCTTGCCACTTACGGTCAAAGACTATTTTATAACAATTGAATGTTTTTTCTGTTACATTATTGATAATTAACTAAAATGACGATTGACTTTTCTTGATTAAAATCGAAAATAGTCCGAACGATAAAATAAAATCAGCCAAATGATTAAAAATATAAAATATTAAATAAAATTAGAATACAGTCACGAATATATTTTATCTTTAAGATGTGGGTTAAATTTTTTATATTTTATTTTATCACCACTAATATTAATCCAAAATTTTACGCAACACATGACGTTCAAACGACATGACGTTCAAAATACAGTACAAACTATGAATAACTCTTGAAAAATAATTCCTCTAAAAAAATTACTATTTATTTTGTGAAATTTAAGTTCCAAAGTAAACATAAATGATGGGTATCAAACAAAATCTATTTTCATCATTTTTTAGGTATATAAATAGTTTCCATTTCTCTATTTTAGGTAGCTAGTTAGCCGTAAAAAGGTTTTATTAAACTAACTAGAAGCCACACCTGTCATACATGTCAGTAATGTACGCACACCTTTGTTTTAAAAACTTACTTTCGCTACAGTTTTACTATGTATGTTGAGTTTTAATTCTTCTAACGTACATTTAAAATGTTAATTAAACAGTCCCGCAGGTTAATAACAATGCTTTATAAACATAAATTTACGGAAAAATAGAGTTTAATGGTCATATTGATTCATTATCCTGTATATTCTCTTCTTCCTGGCAATTAAACAGCTTTAGCCAGGGTCTGCCTTACATGTTGTGAATAGTTTCGGCTAATTGTTTTACGACCGGGCGCTTGCCTGTCTTCAAACCTTTTTGGGAATATCTTGTATATTTAAAAAAAAAATATCATATATATCTTGTAACTTTGAATTAACGAAAAGTTTAAATATAACTCACGTTAAATGCTCTCATTGTTAGTTTCTTTTACATGCAAATGACTGACGATGTGTATTGCGCAATGCACTTTCCACCTAAGTAGTGTTCGGCGTTTTAATTGTCTTGTTTATTTTAAGACGGATCTATAAAGTTCAACTTTATATTTTTTACCATACAAGGCAACGATTTGTATCATACAGCTTTTGTTGAGTTTGTGGAATATATATAAAACCTTCGCTTACAGATGCCTACGTATGTTTTTGCTTTGAAATAGGTTAGTTGTAATTATTTGTTGTTATAAAGTTGGCACATGCTGCTATGACTCATATTTTTGTTTCTTACTTAGTTGAAGACTTCGAGTTTTTGTTAAATAAAGATTTATTTTTAAACATACAAAATAGTATTGAAAGGTTCCTTCAGAAAAAAGTGACAAAAATGCATTTTAAAATACATCTTATAAAAAATATTCCGAATGTCATGTTAATTATAAGTTTCCTAAAGATAATTGCATATAGAATAGTCGAGTAATATTTTAAAATCAGTGTTATGGATAATTACATACACTGAATAAATAATTTCGTAGTGACATAGTAAAGTCCGCTCCTATATTTTATGGTATAAATAATTAATTAAAAAGATTAATTGATATTTCGAATGTTTATATTATATGTACTGTTTACATTTTAAATTAATTAAATAGTTGAGATGCATATCTACACTTTAAAAAAAAATAATAATAATTTTTGGATTTTTCGTTATTTTATCGAAAAAAAACGCTCATGGCCTACACCTTTAAATTAAGAATACTAAATCTGAAAAAAATCTCATATATTTAAATTCCTTTTTGACATTCCAGACCAATTTTACGTTCTAAATAACCTAACGCCATAATTCATTGTATTTTTATTTTATTTGGGATATAAAAATTCTTAAAACTACAACAAAAGTAACATTTTGAACCAGGACTTAAGAAGGCGGCTTCTATAAATAGTTACTGCTTCAAACTCTAACAGGTATAAACCGCAAGAAGATTATTCCTGACTCATAAAAAAAATATCATTTTAACAGGAAAGCATAAAAAATAATTAAGAAATATTTTCACACACAGTTCTTAAATTTTTTATACTATTAAAGAGCGTTACTACCACAGATAAAAAAATTAATAAATAAAATTTCTTCATGATTAATTATTAAATTCAAACTCTTTTGTGGTGTCAAGAACGCCGGAAAACAGGTGTTGTATTACGTAAAAAAAGTTATCCCTGTTAATCCACTTACCGCTTTCAATCTTTGACATCTTTTGTATTTTTAAGTACTAAGTGTCACTTGCGTCACTCATTGCGAAACGGTGACTCAGAGATACTTTTTCCAAGCTACTAATATTATCTCATTTTAAAATCTTTTGTTTGTTAAGAATTGTAACGTCTAGTTCTTGTATAACATTTTAGCATAAATATTTTAGTTATTAATAGATGCATGAATAAATAAAGGCAATATTAACGATAGTATTTTTTATTTTATTAGTCTATACGAAGTGTTGCCAGACTTAACTTTTTTCATTTTTTTTTATTTAGATATCCGACCGTGTCCATATTTCAATAGATTTATACCGGAACTATAGTAAAAATACTGGTCTTTAAAAAAATTGTACGGATTTAATTTTTAATGATGTTACTATAACTGCAGCCGATGAGAAAATAAAAGTAATTCCCTATTAGTCTGACAGCTGTGTCGGCCATATTTGGTGATGGCGTACTCACTGGCCGTGGAGTAAATGTTATTTAAAATTATGTTTTTAGAACCTACCTAGTGTTTTAGTATATACATTTTTAATATAAAAGATTTCTTTGCTGATTAAAACACATTTTTTAAATAGTGTTCGTTTTGATAATACAAAAGAAAAAGAATTTATTGACTTATTTATACTTATACAGAGTTAAAGTGATACATAAGTACCAATGTGATTTTTCTGAGTCATATGTACTTTCTAAGAGTATTTAGACACCACTGATTAATGCATTCCCAAAAAGGGTTGATGTCAGGCAGGCGGGCGGTCGTAAAAACAATTAGCTAAAAACCATTCACAACATGTAAGGCAGACTCTGGCTGAAGCTGGGAAATTGCCAGGTAGAAGAAGAAGAGTGAAAGTGATATAAGTAATTATAATTATAAGTACGAAGGAAAATTTATAAAATTGTTTTTTATATTCGCTTTATATAAAATATAAAAATTATGGAAACAAAATTTTTTACTGCACTTAGATTTTCAAAGTTAAGAACACCAAAATTAAGAAAATACCTTTAAAATACGAATTACTTTTGCTTAATAAGAAATATATTTGTCTTTCTTCAATGATTATATGTATTTGTAAAGTTACTAAATCAACTCTATTTCTATTAGGAAACTATTAGCAGCTTATTTAAAAATACGCAATATTAATATCATATCACCGACATGTTTTATTTATGACTCTGAAGTTATGTATATCCGTGTTAAAAAATATGTAACTATTAAGAGAATAATTGCTCCATAATCATAATAAATTGTATTTACAATTAATAGTTTACTATACAAATCCAGTTTTAACTAATGGAAACATTGAATATAGATATATTTCAAGTTAATGTTCAGTTTAAAATTTACGAAGGTTTAAACTATACCGAACTTTTTGGTGTATAATGAAAACAATGCTATGATTAATTATCTGTGCGTTTAAAATGATTCATTTACTCTATGACTTACTGTCAGTGTGTCAAGGCCGCCATAATTGACGGCTGTCAAAACAGCTCTCCTTTTAATAGGAATGCAGTTATGTTATGTCATTGACGTTTGAATGTCAACAAATGTACCTAGTCGAAAGTCATAGAGAAAAGAAAATATATGCTCTAAAGCTTATAAATAAATTTTAATTATAAAAATACGATTATTATGGGTAAATTTGTCATTAAATAATTTTAAATTAATATCATTATGTTATACTAAATATATATTTTTTTATGTCCGCTATCTTATTATACTGTTCGTGTATTGTAATAGAAAAGTAGAAATTACATACATTTCGGTTATATAAAACTAAAGTAGGGATAATTTTGAATAAAATTATTCCAAAGAGTTTGATTAATTAATGAATTTGGAACATATTTGGTTTTACATAACAAAATTGATTATAGTAATTAAAAAGTTTATACATAGCCACTGATAATTTGTAACGATAATGCCCAAAAGGACTCGTGTCCAGAGCCGTAAACATTTACAAAAAAAAAGTTTTTAACGATTCATATTAATTTCAATTATAAATTCATTAATATATTTTATTTGTAAGAGCAAATCTTAATGTCGGAAAGCCAATAAAATCGTTTTATGTTACAAATAATGATAAATAGTGATCTGGATATTGAATATTAAACATTTTATCATCATTGGTTTTATATAATACTTGAAAAGGCTATAGATCATATAATTGAAAGCATAAATTAATTAAGTATGAAATTATAAAGTTTTATGACACGTTGCGTAAACTATGAGTCAAAATCATTTTGAAAGGAGCTAACATTTTAATCGATATTCAATGAATGATACATTATAAACATAAGTAAAATGAAACTAATATTTTACGGATATACTACGCGATTTTATTTTTGACTATAAACTACATATTCCCGACGTTTCGGTTACTTTACAGCAACCGTGATCACGGGCAGACGAGGTTTCGTCTTATGTAGTTTTTATCAAAAATAAAGTCGCGTAGTATATCAGAAAAATATTAGTTTCATTTAAATGAAAATCTCAGATCTCATTATTAAAACCGTTTAGATAAAATCATTGTAGTGTTGCAACACAGTCCTATATGTAAGTCATGCTTGCAAATTACAAAATGCTCGAATTTATCGACATATCCCTAAACCAGTTCCAGACATCGATAAATCTACTTGCGAAATGTGTTACAACACTATTCTATGGAATTAATGATCTGGATATGAAGTAACACAATGTTTCATATAAATAAATACACATGGTTAAAATTACTTTAAAATAATTAATAAGTAA